CACAGCTCCTGCTGGTAGTGGTGGTGATACCACAGCTCCTGCTGGTAGTGGTGATGATAGTGGTACCACAGCTCCTGCTGGTAGTGGTGGTGATAGTGGTACCACAGCTCCTGCTGGTAGTGGTGGTGATAGTGGTACCACAGCTCCTGCTGGTAATGGTGGTGATAGTGGTACCACAGCTCCTGCTGGTAATGGTGGTGATACCACAGCTTCTGCAGGTGGTGATGATGCCACTGTCGCCGTTGATGGGGGCACAGCATCAGCGTCTTCTAACAACGATACAGCTACAACACCGGATAGTGGAACTACTAGTACCGGCGCAGCGCCATCTGTTGCAGGAGATACCGGCACTCCTCAGCAGTCGAAGTCAACCACTGAAGCCCCCACTTCCGGTCCTCTGCGTAAGTACAGAATTACAGAAAACTTGAGACAGATAAGATAAATTTCATTTTATTATCCCCATAGGAACTAATTTATTTCACAATAGCATACGTAATACACTGATACATTAACACATTAATACTTAAATACGACATGAGTGACACATAGTATCCCAGATATAGAAAATCCTCTCGCCAAATTAATACGTAAAAGTGGTATACAGTATCTCAAACACCGAAAATCCACATACCAAATTAATACGTAAATAAATGAATGATATACGATATCACCAACAACAAAAATTTCATTCACCAAAATGAATACGTAAATACGTGAATGATATACACCGTCACAGACATACAAAATCTCAATTCCCTTTTCTGGTGGCCACATCAGCAGCGAACTGTTTTCAAGCAAGGGTTACAGTTCTCTTTGCCGTTGTCAAAATGTTTTCAAAGACTCAGTGATTCTTTCTTATGCTGAAAACATTATTTTCTTGTTTTCCTTTCTGATTTTTTTTATAACTCTTTGCATTCATTTATTTCGCCGTTCTCTGCAGCTAATGTATCACCTGTGAATGCATGTACTACGTCCATGATAACTCAAACAGATTGATATATGTTGCGTTCTGCTGTGCTTAATATATGTATATACGTTGATATTATGCATATTATATATTATGATAGGAAGAAGAAGAAGAAGAAGAAGAAGAAGAAGAAGAAGAAGAAGAAGAAGAAGAAGAAGAAGAAGAAGAAGAAGAAGAAGAAGAAGAAGAAGAAG